GAGTAGTCTAATGGGTAAGCCTTTACTAACGGAGGGGTCTCATCCCGTGTAATGAGGACAAGTTCACTGTTAGTAAAGGCTTACCCATTAGACTACTCAGTCAGCGCTGACTGAGTAGTCTAATGTCGATGACTGAGTAGTCTAATGGGTAAGCCTTTACTAACAAAGGATACACGGCGCACAGGTTCGAATCCCGGGCTGATCACTTTACGAAAAGCACCATAGTTCTGTTCTCGGCAGCGCCTGGCGAGGGATCCGTCCTCGGAGATCTCTACTCACAGCCCGGGATTCTACGGGCCGAGAGTGTATCTTTTGTTAGTAAAGGCTTAGTCTACCCATTACTCCTGAAGTCGGGGAAGGAGGCCCACACATAGTAGCCTTTTTCAGGCATACCCATGCTCCTGTCTATGTACCCCCCCGTGCTGCTAGCAGATCTACCATGCAGGGCATTGTATCCTCATGTAAGGCCAACGCTCCCAACTTCCGGGTGGACCTCGAGCATCTGTACAACTGCGCCAATATCCGAGACCTGGTGCACGAGTGCATGTTCTCCATCAGCCACGTGACGAAGCCTCAGGCGTTCAAGGTTTCCAAGGACCCTTCGGACGGTGTAGCCACGATGCAAGTGCAGCAGCGGAGCTACAAGGAGGAGTGGGGCGTGATCAACAGGTACATTGTGACTGTGCAGTGGATTGTAGCGTGCCCAGCGTATTTCTCACAGTTACTTAGTGTTTTTCCTGGTAGAATAATTGCTTCTTGTGGCCTCAGGGTGACGATATTGACGTTTGGTCCTGTCCCCCTTACGTAACAGGCAAGGGGAGTATGGCCCTGGATACATTACGGTCATGAAGAGCTGGCCCGATGTGCGTGACACGCCTTCCCACCCGCGGAAATCCTTGCCGGATGCGACCCTCCACCAGCACCGGCATTGCATCGAATCATGCAATGCCCGGATAAAGAATGCATGCATGCACACAAGTGAGTACCAATTTCGTCCGTTGTTCTTTGTGAGCCTTAGCATTGCCCTGGTGTACATGCCTCCGGAACACAAGGGGTTACTGCAGAAGTACACGAAACTTGCCCTAGAATGGTGAAGGTGGAAGTCCAGCCGTGGATTGCCCAGTCAGGTTTCATATCGCTGTAGCGGTACCGTGTAGACTCCGTGTCTGCATGATGTACACATGTACGTCAGGGATGATCGCTATTCCGTGTTTTATGAAAATTTCTTCTCATGTGGGCTGTGCAACGCAGGTTCTCTACCCGATGGAATGACGGCGGACGGACTCTACAACAGTAGGATGGAGGAGTTGGCAGAGAGCGTAGTAGAGTTAAGCAGATCTACGCCAGTACCATTCGGCTGGGGCTCCGAATGTGACATGTACACTCTTGACAACCAGGAACCGGCCTCGGACTGCAACGGATCGCATTAGACGCCCAATGGCGCGGCGGGCGCAACCAGCCCGGCGGGCGCGGGTTCGGTATAGGGGCGGGGAACAGGCTCACGTGCGCGGAAGAGGGTAGATGGGCCTGTTTTCCATGTCGAGGTTGGGGAATTCGTCGCGCTGCCGACACCCCCTGGGATGGCGTCAGTCTTGGAAGGCAAGGTCGAGTCCGTGGAGAAATGTGACGGGGGGGACGAGTTAGAGTTGCGATGGTACATGCCGGTTCAAGTCAAAAGTGACCTTTGCTCCGACTACGGTAAGGGAGCGTAGACGCCTGAGTTCATTCTGGAATCTGGGAAGAGGGTACCTTCCGTGGGAGGGGAGAACGTACGGTCTGTCTGCGCGAAGTTCGCGAGCCTTACCGCTCAGGGCAAGTTGCCAAGCCATGTATGAAAATCCGTTTTTGAGAGTACGGTGCCGATGGAAGAGCAAAGCGAGGGCACAGATGAGGGTCAGGGAGGAAGAACGGATGGTCAGAGAGGAAGTACGGAGGGTGTACGAAGTACGGGGGGTCAGGGAGGAACGGGGGGTCAGGGAGGAAGAACACAGGGTTGGGGAGGAAACGCATCTTCTAGTGCCTCGTTAGGGATGCAGCATCCTCCCACACCATTGGAGGCGCAACAACCGCAGTCGCCTCAACGACCAGAACCGCTTGCTAACGAATCGGGCGGGGGAATGTCTTCGTCTAGTTCGCAGGATTCGGTGGTGCCGTCGTCAGTGAACGATGTTGCAAGAGAAGGCAGGGTACGGTTGACGGCAGCGGCGTTCAGACCACGCCGGAAGTAAAGCCAACTAACGAAGTCGATAGACACCTACTATATTGTCGTGTACCCTTGCTTGTAATAACCATTCGCGTGAGGTACACCACCTATTACCCAGGCGAACCATGCCTTGATTGACTTCTACCGCGCTCGCAATCAATCGCGGTACAATCAATCTTTGTTTGCAACGGGCTCCTGGATATCGATACATGGTGGAGAGTGTTTCACCTCGGAAAGCACCTTGAAAAGGAGGGAAATTGTTGGCTCCTACTCCATTAGCAAACTTGAACCGGCCGCTACAAGCCCAGATTTTGGCTTCTCCGCCTCGAAACAGTAATGTCTACAAATCGACCACACATAATCCTGCGCTTCCCATTCCGGTCAAATCTTGTCTGTTACAGTGTCGCCCATATATCGAACACTCTCAAACAGCTCTTTCCACTTCGAAAACTCACTCTCAATTTCATGCTTCGCTCGCAATTTCACCAATATGTTGTTACGTGTCGTATTCGTCATGGTCACAATTATTTCTACTACAAATGCCCGCAACAACAATAATCTAAATAAGGCGTTTGTTTCCGAGCCAGATGTAGAGATTCTGATTGCAAGCTTTGATTTCGAGCTGACCCCCTCGGTAGAGAAGGGACTCAACATTGGTGTGTTGTTGCAGACTGAAATAGCATGATGGATTATTGCATGGTTCGTTGGGGCAAATATTCACAACCTTGTTTTTCGCGATATCTTTCAAAAAACGATTTGGAAAGTGAAACAACTTTGGGCGTGACCGTGGCGTCGAGCTTCGTCGATATCCGATGAGTTTTTAGTGATTGGGTGAAATGCGACATTTTGACCAAAACGACCCACGGAGCCCCCACCCCCCCACCCCCTCATGACCCCACGGAGCCCCCAAAGTACACCACGACCCCCCCTCAACCCCTCCCTTCTACACGTA